GATTGAAATACAACTCCTCTATTGCCACATCAGCTGTGACTTCATTTCCATTTCTGTGTCTTGCAGGGAAGCCCTGCCTCTATTCACAGAGTAGTGGTGTCCAGAGTAGTGGTCCCAGTGATGTCAAGGACTAAATGACAAAAAGATCTGACACCTGGGGTGGGGGAGAAGATAAAGAGAGACTTTGAATGGCCATATTGCTGGCTTAGTGGTTGATTGCAAAGTGCAATAGGGATGCCCTTCCGACCAGATAGGTATCTATCAAAGGAGAACTGTTTGTTATAAAGACAAATCCTGCTGTCCCAGTTTACATATAAGAACCGTTTAGATGCAGCAGTATGTGGGCATCTTTGCTCCTTTCAGCATTCTCTCACAATCCGAGTGAAACAGAGTCTCATTATCATTTATGCAGCATGAGCCATAATTTGGATTGATGTGACTGCTGTTTAACGCAAAGCATTCGTTTTCCCTTATACAATAAAAGCACTTTACTTCATTTTGTTCATCAATGTATTGCGCAATTAATTCAGCCTTGCTTATTATATCCTGGGCTTGCATTATCATGGTCTCAAGGGACTTAGAAATGTCTTAATGATCTCATGGATGTGAAAACAATGAGAGCTCAGATAGACATTATGCATTTGCACGTCTCGCACACCTATCTGATCTGTGGGGTTGGTTGTTTTTTATCTCTGCTTTGCTTTGCTTGTACCTTGTAAATTGCCTCTCTGTGTAACCTGCTGTCTCTGTTCCCTTCCCTAGGCTTGATAACTCAAAGCAACACAAACACGGTGAGAAAGATAAGCAGCAAGTTAAAGAAGACCTGCAGGGAGAAGCAAACGACCCAGGAGACTAGAAACAGGATACTGAGATTTTCCTGACGAGAAGACTGGTCCAGGTGAGTACAGCTCACTGTAACTAATACACAGCAATTAGCTGCTTTATGTCAAATATATTGGTGGTATGTCTTGTGCAGACTGAGTAAAAACCCACTACGCTCTGTCTCCCTTCCTGACAGCATAAAAGTGAGGCTAATAAGGCAGAAATGCTTTCCTTTGCATTTTCAGGACACTGTACCCTTGGTGGTAAGGTGATAGCAATTCCATGGGGAAGTAGAGGACCTAATACAATTGCTCGTGCTGTCCTTATCTGGCTCTTGGGGATGGAGACAACCTTACCCCTCATAGCTCTGCCTGTCTTGTCCCTCACTTGCCATCTAGTCTGAAGGTAACTAAAGGCTGCAGCTGGCACCAGTGTCTTTGATTTGTACCTCTGGCTGGGGAGCTGAGAGCAATGAAGGCATCAGCTCGGCACAAATGCATATATTATCTGTAGAGCCTTTCTGAATAAGCAGTGAGGAAGGGCACATAGAAGTTGTCCTAGCTCTACAAACTCCCTTTAAAATCCCAATGGGAAATCAGCAAGCAGAAACATTATTTGGATTGGAGGGGAAACTGAAGGCATTTTGTAATGTTGGTGGGGAGCTTCCTCCTGCAACTTCACTGCAAAACAGTCTATGGCAAGATGATTTAAGAAGTGGAGACGGTTACACTAATACAGTATCTTGACAAGCGCACTTGAAAGTCCTTTCCAATCTCAGCAAGGAAGAGTTGCTCCTCTGTTTTTCTGAAGTCTAACTAGAATTTTGAGATATAATTGAGGGACTGCTCTTGCAGATGCACTGGCACTCTAGAAAATGAATTGACATACCAGAAATGGGTTTATGGGGCACATATGATTACTCAGAACATTCCAAGAAAACAACAGCCCTCATTTTTTTCTGATTAAAAAAATGTGAAAGCAAGTTTTTTTTCCAGGCTTTGTGTAGCAGAGAGTGACTGGCATGGACTTGAACAATTTAGTATAGCATGGGTTTGAAATTGAAGCACTTTTACACACTGTGGATTGACAACAGGGTAATTACTGGGGAGCAGGGGGGAAGGAGAGAGGATTTCAGTAAAACACCCTCAAGCTAAAATGAATACAGACTATTACAGACCTGAGACAGAACGATTCCCAAGTGGTTTAATTTGTGATTCCACTCCTTGTCTCCCTTGCAGTCATCATTTTGGCAACTGTTAGTAACATCCCTGAGATTCAACAGCATTTGCAGAGCAGGCAGCTGCTGAGATGATTATGTCAAATCAGCACTCTGTCCTCTCTTTCCCATGTCTAATGATTCTCACCCTTGGAGAAGTGGTTTAAAATTATGCGTACCCCTTGGACTCATTGTGAGGCTGCTAACAGCAGTAGCTGTAGAGCAGGAGTTTGGGTGGGACTCTTGTCACTCACCTTTCTTGCACACATGCTCTGCAATTAACTTTAAAAATTATTCTACAGAGCCCGCTATGGGTGGTTTGAGCCTGATCCAAAGTCATTTCAAGACAATAGAAAATCTTGCAAGAGCTCTGGCTTAAGCTCTCTGAGGGCAGTAGAGAAGCAGAGCTTGTGTGAGTTCTTAATTTGAATTTCTCAAACAGCCAGTTGAGAAGAACATATACGTCAAGACTTGCTTGACTTTTGTCTCCCTCTCTCTCCTGTTCAGACCTAATGCCTTGCAAAGGTAGAACTGTCACTGACTGCACTGCAACTGGGAGATACTGGGAAGGAAGGCGAGAGTTTCTAAATGTAACCCAGTGATACTATAGCTCTGCAGCTGCTGTCGTGCTCTTGGGACAGCACAGAGCAGCACTAAAAAGCTTTGCTACACTCAGAAGTGGGTTGGACTTGGACAAACGTTGCCCTGGGGTTTTATATCACAGGCTTGTCTTTCATTCCACACCTTGGCATGTTATTTACTCAACAGCTTTCCTTTGCACTGCAATTGCGAAGTCAGTAGTTGATATGGCTGATAGATAAATTTGTCTGAGTCTTTTCACACTGCTGTCACTGTGCAGCGTGTGCCTGTGCTGCTGCTGACCCGTTCTGCTTCACCTCCGGAACATCACAGTTTGATTCAGAAAGAATGAGTCTCAGTCATGGGCTCTCTTTCTGAAACTCCAACGTGAGCAATCAATCCAATAATCTTGTGACTTGATTTATAATAATTAACTCAGTTTTCACTGTCCTTAGACATTTAACTAATCCCACCAGTTAAGAATTATCTGTTCTTTATATTCAGAGTTAATAGCAGATTGAAAGCTGAAAAAACAAGAGCTGAAGAAGCAAGTCTCCTTTTGTATTCTAAAAGCTCTGGCTTAAAATTCGACTTGCTGTTTAAGCCTGCTTGTATTTCATGATTTGCAACACAGTCTTCCCCAAAAGACTGCCCAGGATCCTACAAGGATTCTGTATGTAGCATATGGGGCAATGAATACCTCCATCACCACAGATAAAGACCCCTGCAAAATTTCCTACTTTCTTTCAATTGCACCGTTCCAACCAGATCTCGGCTCCTATATTGGAAAGCAGCGTGGTATCAAAACCTGGCTTTGATAATGGCTGTGCGTGTGGTTTCATCGGTGTCACGCAGACGAGGGTTGCAATTGCCTGTGCTCAATTAAGGCCTTTTTCCCTTTATGCTTCCACTGACAATGGTAACAGCAGCACCACCCACTATTCTGCATCTGGGCTGAGGCGGGGGGGCTGCAATTCTCTCTCTGGGTTAACAAATTGTATCCTTGCTGCCGTGGCATAGGGCTGGAGCCAAACCACCTTGCTTTACTCCTGCGTTTTGGGCTAAGACTGTAATGCTGTAAGCAGAAATCTAAATAGCTACATCCAGGTAGGTTTTACCTAAATTCTCCTTTAGTGTACCTCCGTGCAGTGCAGGTGTATGCGGGTCAGAACTAATACTGCATTCATAGCATATCTCTGCAGTCATCACTGGGCACTCATTGTATTAGAGGCGGAAACTATTATGCTAGCAGCATTTGAGTGAATACACAATGCAGAGTGACACTGCAACAGAACCAGGAGGGCAAAATGGAGATTTGCGTACCTAAATGGAACACAGGGGAGTCTAGGGAAGCAGTGCAAAGAGGATTCTGACCATAGCACCAGGATTAATATTTCTGTTCCTACCAAAAATGCTGTACGTCTCCAGGTTCTTGAATATAAAAGGCTTCAGAGCTGTCTCCCACCAGAAGCCAGGGTATTTGGGTGTAAGCAGTAGAAAATAACATCTTTACCAACTAACACTACTCCTGTTTAACACAGGTAGCCTGCATTGCTCCAATATGTCACTCAAGTCAGTAACTAAGTAGCAATGTAAAGAAGTTTTAAACATCTGGATGGCTACACCAGGCAGAAACTGACTGTAAGCTGCAATTTGAGTGAGGATACAGGGAAGCTTTGATCCCCCATTTTGGTAGAAAAAATTTTCTACCAAGTGGCACAATTTCTGTGTGTGATTACCTGAAGTCACCAGTGCTACCTGCTAGCCTGTTCCCTTATAGGCCTTTCTGGCTCCTGCCACATCCTTAAGTGCAGTCAAAGCAGCAGAGGAGTTGCACACAGGATATCTATCATATCTTTATTTACATATCATGGAAACACACATGCAACATCTCACAGGATTTACTACAATGGAACAGCCTGTCCCTATCTCCTGTTAACAAAAACTTTATTTTTGGCTCACTAGGAAAACTATTACTTCCCCAGAAAGCTCCTAAAAATAATTATTAAAAATAACAGACTTGGCAGGATAACTAAATGAGTGAGAGCTGCAGGCTGGGATGTCTTGCCACATCCTTGCAGAAACCAAGTGGTTCTCTGAAAGCAAGGAAGGAAGGAAGGAGTGGGACTGGATGGTCCCAAAGAAGACAGGTAGGAAGTGATAGTGTGTAACAGCTAGGGAATATCTGTCTGTAGTAGTGAACAAGGGAGAGAGAGAGTTCTTTCAGAGGGTCCCCTCTCACCT